AAACCCTGAATCTTGGAATATTCCTCGCTCGATCCCTCTATAGTGCGGCTGAGATGATGGTTCCTTGGAGATCGCCATATTTGATTTTGGACACCACTGAATTATGGGTGCAGCACAGGCGACCCAGATAGTTAGGGCCTGTTGATTAGGCTAGTTTTCACTGAGATGTTGTTATCTTTGCGGCGTTATTGCGGTCAGAGGTTAACAGAAGGGTTGGCGAAAAACTGTGCGTTTTATATTATAGAGAGTGAAGTTCGCGCTGGGAGGATTTTCTTGTTTGTGACAAAGTGTATTCTTACGTAATGGAGTAGGCCATTTGCACGTTGGCGTCATTTTACCATTACAACCAGAATCGTTCAGGGTATTGCTTTCTTGTGCAAGTTAAGGCTTTTGTTATTAAAACCTTACTGGGACTACCAAATTTAAATAGGAAAGAAAAACCGAAATGAGTTCTGGTCCTAGTAGTAAAACTGCAGGGATACGTCACAGATCGTGCAAATGGCCCATAGAGCTGTCGCCCGCGCAAAGCCTGGGTTTTTGCCCCGTTTGGGGCAATTACACAGTCCTCCGCGGCCTTGAATGCACAAATATGCACAACTTCGCTGCAGGAGATCGCGGTCAGTGAAACTCCATTAGCTTTTTTTTTTTTTCGACTTTCACAACTAGAAAACGTGAGGTTTTTGTCAGTTTTTAAATGCCGGTAACTCCTGTAGACACTCGAGCAAAAGCTCTTGGTTCTTGCCGAAAAAGTTACCGGCAGGTAATTGGGATTAAAACGAGAACGGTAAATAGGACATCTTGCATGGAAACTTCAAGAGGTGCTTCGAATATTTCTCCCTCAAAGTTACTATTAACTTGAACCAGTTAACAAACTTTAGTAAGGCTAGTATTTTATGCTGCAATTCTTCTTTCTCTGAATTGCTGTTGCTTATTATTCATTATTATTTTTTCACTAGAGAGGGAGTGTTAAGCCGTGGTCACACTAAAGAAGCCCGAAAAACTTTGACCCTTTGGAAAAAAAAAAACAGACCCAACGGACAATACAACGACCACGAAAATAGCATACTAGATTGTTTACAAACCCTGTGTGCTTTAAGAAACCTTTTTTCACCAAATTAGAAAGATCACCATGGCAGATTATCCACTACAAGAGATAGCTAACACTTGTGTTATTTCTGTCTGATTTCATCTAAAAAGGTACCTATCTAAGAATTGAAATATTGAAGAATCTAAGAATTAAAAGCATTGAAATAATTGCATGCTTTTTGTTTCTTTTACTCTTCCCATATTAGTTGTTGGGACAAGGGCCTCGGAAGCAGGGTGGGGGAGGGGCAAGGGGCGTGATTCGCTGGCCAACCTCTACCACACTTGAAAGAAGCTTACCCACTCTAAGGCCTTTTTGGTAATTTAGAAGTTAAGTCAATATGGGGACCACAGAAAAGACATCCATTTTTTACAGAACCTCTTCTGTTGTAGGGTACCTTTTTCCAATATCAGACAGATATATATTGCCAGTTTACAATCATCGACAAATAAATTAACAGTCGGCCAGAATGCTAGGATCGACTGGGACAAACGGACGATGTTAGCAGTTAATCACGTGAGATACAGCATCGGAAAGCAAAGGTCAAACGCAAGGGCTACTGTTAGACGATAAACTTCTGCATTTTAACCTCGGTAGTATGTATGATTTCAGCTCTGATGACACTGATGCGGTCTACAAATCCATGCTTTGCAATATAAGCTTACCTAATCTGTGTAGTCCATGAGTGAATTGTCCCCCAACATCAGCCGTACACAGCACTTGAGCTAGAGCTTTACCGTGATGTTGAATCAGTTCCCACCGCCCTCAAACACCGCTCTACAAATGATTCAACTTCTGCGACGGGAACACACTTGTGTTCTGCGACACTACGCATTACGACGGACTGAAGAGACAATAAATCATGTATGAGAGCCTCGGAGTTTTCACAAACCTCAGTTAATGTAATTTTTAAAACTCAAACATTGTTTTTTTCTCATTCTTCAGTTTAGACCAACAGTTAAGGGTCAGTTTCTTTCAAAGGTTTTGCTTGATTTCCCGGCTGCACTACTATTTTAATTATATTGTCAAATTAGTCGTTAGGACGACCGTTTCATAAAATATTCCCTTAAGTTTTAGCCTTAATTCGTTAATAGACATGTGGTGTTTGTGATGTTTAAAAAAAGCCGCTCTTTATTTATTTATCAATTTGGTTAGCGACTATTTCATTGATTTCTGTCAATTTATTAAAACTTGTGGAGGTTATAAGAGAAAGTTGTGGGCACTTTCTGGAGCGATAAGCCAATGTCCTTTAATACACGAGTGAACTCTGGTTTTCAGAGACGCTAGAGTCAGTGTAGAATATGTTTATCATACAACATTAGTCAAGGCAATAAAAAACCAAAACACAAGAAAAAACTTACCAGGTATCACCTGCAGGATGTTAGGGTAAATTCTTCCCCATTAACAATGAAAGGGTTTTTTTTTTTTAAAAAACTTTCATTTTCCGTTATGTTCGGATACAGCAAGCAACTAAAAACCAGTCAGCATTTGAATCCAATTTTGAGGTCAAGACGACCACAGTCAGTCAGGAGGCGTTTTTTTTCCATGTAGTTTATACCAGCTGAGCACTCCAAGACCTAAACCGTAACTAAGAAAGCTGTAACACATTTTGTTCTTCTAACAATCTTCGGACGTGCTCATTATTCAATAAGGTTTTAATTACTTGTAGCGAAAATCACTAACTTGTGCACAGCCCCGATCAAAATCCTGTTCTAATAGTCCAAGAGAAATCTTTCCTTTCTCTTTAAGGGATACTGGCAGGTGTTTAGAAGGAGGACGGAAATTCCCTCGCTTGACAGACGCCACGCTTTGCACAAACAACAAAAAATTTTGAATTATGTAGAGCTTTCAGATAACGAGACTCTGATTGGTTCTTTCTTTAACGCCGGCAATAAATGTACTCGTGCAATAGTTGAATTCAAGCCAGCCCTCACCCATTAAGGCTCCGTCCACACGTATCCGTTTTTGTTTGAAAACGAGGATATTTGTTTCTTCGGTTTGGCCTTCCGTCCACACGTATCCGGTGAAAACGGTCACCGAAAACGCATCTTTTCAAAAACGCTCTCCAGAGTGGGGATTTTTGAAAACGCCGACTTTAATTTTCGTTTACGTGTGGACCGACGAAAACGGAGGTTTTCAAATACGATGATGTCACACCATTACATACTTCTAGCATGACGCATGCTCAATAAAGGATGTTATCGTATTTCCATCGTTTTCGTGTGGACGGGCGAAAACGATTCGACTACGCCACGTGTGGATGCGCATTTAGTTAAAAACGGAGAAAAAAATCTCCGTTTTCGAATATATCCGGATACGTGTGGACGGGGCCTAAGTCGCTTGCGCGCTTAGGCGTGACCCGACCTCTCCTCTCGCGATTCCCAAGTGGAGATCTTGTGCTCCGGCTGCCTTTTCATAGTATTACTTAATCTACCTTTCAATAACAAACTTTGAAGTCTTTAAGGATGTGCTGCCCCTCTAGTTTGGTCTGTAAATGATGAAATTAAACTCGCACAGTTTAACAAAATATACAACGACAACAATTAATTTAGACATCAGAAGAAACATGCCATTGTATAGCGGAAAGGAAAATCAGATTTCGACAGGCGTTTCAAAAGCTGCCAAAGCTCACATTTTCAAGGGCCATTTCTCATGTTAATTTTTTTTTTCTTGAAAGTGTGGGAAAACTGTCGGAGGAGAGTTTTTCGTCGCGCAGGCAGTTGCATTATATTGAAAATTTTGTGATGAGAAAAATAGAATGTCGTTCACTAAATCATCGAGCAGTTCAGGATAAAAAAAAAGGTTGGAATTTTGTGGCAGTTCTGAGTATTTAAGGAAGCGTTTGCTAATAGTTGTTTCTCTTGGCGTGTTACCAGCGCTGCTTCAATTTAGTTATTCTGGGAATGTGCGAAGGAGTGGGAAGCGGATTCAGTTCTTAGTTTTCAACCAAGCCCATTTGTGGCGTCGACCCAGAAGACCAGGAGGCGATCAAGGACGCTATTTTGTCATCATTTTCTGATCTGTCTGCATTTAGCTTGCATTTCTTTTGTCTGTTATCGAATCTAGGATTTTTGATCTTAAGTGCAATTTGTAAGAAGAGGGTAAGACGTCTTTAGCTGCCATGGCTAAACGATTCAAGAAAAGCGAGCCAAAGTTCAAGTCGTGGGCCAATAAAGCATAGTTTGTGCATCAGCAGCGAGTTCCTGACAACATTACTGGGGCGAGGGATTATTTGGCGTTCGCAAAGTAGGAGAAAACGAAGGCAGCCACCGAAGAAGGTATCACCTAATATCTCTAATTAGTTTTTCACACTTAAATAATGAATACAACAATTCGAATTACTTGTAATTAACCCTCTACAGAACTAAAAACAGGCCCACCAACAAATTACATTGTACACTACTAAACAGTGGCGGATCCAGGGGAGGGCCCCTACTTTTGCGAAGGAGTTAAAGTCTACGCGTTTCTTTAAACCGTCATCTTCCTGTAGATTTCCCGGCCACACTGGTGCTTTGCAGTCAAGCGTCCCACGGAACCAGAATTGTCCTTGTTTTAAGATGAGTATACATTTGCGCTATTTCGTTCTCTTATTTCTAATCATTCACTTATGCATTTCGTTGTTCACTTTTTCGCCTCGTTACTTTTCATTATTAACCATGCACTTGGTTTTGTAAGTTGTGGTTGTTTAATGGTAGCGTAACTTAGCACAGAATGAACATCCTTGGGAGTTTATGGGTTATTTATCTTGGAAACAGGGTATGGCAATACACTAAGAGTACCGATCGCACCTGCCTTTTCCCAGGTAGCCCATGCACTGTCTACTGTCTACCTTTACTATCCCCAAGGTAATGTGAAAAAATTTCTCACTTTCTTTAGGATTTTCCAATCTTGCAACCTCGGGATTCCCACCACCTCTTCAGTCATTATAGTTTGAAAGTACTCTTAAATTGGCGTTGTCATATAATTCTCTGGATAATACTTCCAGAGCAACACGCAAAGGTGAAGCTAAGGTATAAACTTGAACTGGAGAAACAAACTCGCCAAAAATAATGCCAAAACCTAGAAGATCTTTTTTTGGAACTTTTTCAAAGAGCACCGCTCCAGAATCTCCTTCAGCTGAGAATGCCTGGCCTTCTCTGAATATATCGCCTGGACGGTCTACGCATAAGCAGTTCTTCATCCAAAGCCTCTCAGAAAGAGTTCGTGTGTCAACTGTACAGGAATCACAAAAAGAACCAGAAGGCGTCAGGCGTTCGCTAACACCAGACCTCATGGTGCAACTGTGACAGAGTTTAACTCGTCGCAACACATCCATCAATTGCCTATTTTGAGCACTCACCTCATACAAGGGAGATTTAGCAAATATTGATGGATCTTCGTGGCGGCCTGAACGGGTGTAACCAGTGGTTCGGCCACTTTTACACAGCTCGCCTTGGGCTTGAACTCTTTCACTGCATTCACCGCTTGGGATATCTCCTGTTCCAATCACTTCCACTGTCTCACTATCTCTTAACTTGTTTACTTCATCTGAAGTCAACTGAGCAATAGCAACATCGATATAATACTCTTGGCCATTGGTCCATCTCACATTTCGGGAGACACCAGCAACGTACCTTCCAATTACTCTGGGTTCCCTAAAACCTTTCTCTAAGGCTTTTTCATGCATTTCTAAATTCTTTAGCTTTTTCTCCTTCGCTCTCTCTGGGTCGCGGTGGTTTTCTTTCATTGATTTTAATTCTTGAAATTTCTCTAACAACTCTGACTCCGTTCTAAGGATGTCAAATAAAAAGTGGGTTTCTAGATCAGACACACTTTCGCGTTTTAAGATTTGCGTTATCCTCTTTCCATATTCCTGTAGGTGATAGTTGAGGTAGTTGAGATGGTCATTCAGTGCAGGGTGAATTATCTTCGATTCTAGCGGGTCTTTCATTACATGATCACAGGACAGGGCATAAAAATTCCCATCGGCCTCCACAATGGCACCCAAAGATCCAGATGCTTCTATTCCTTGTACGCCAATGCTTGCTCCTAGTTTAAGCACCTTGCTCTGCTTCTGTGCCTTGTTGGGGGTCCAGGGTCCATTCTGGCTCACTCTGAGCCAAAATCCATCCACAACATCAACAGGGTAAGAACCAAGTCTGAGTGGCAACGGAAACTCACCGTCAGGGATGAAGCCTTTACGAAGAACATAAATTGCAATACAAGGCTGTGTCGTCTGCTGAGACTTTGTGATTTTAAACGAGGCTTGAACGGCGGTGATGTTGTGATGTCCGACAAGAACATGAAGGTTTCTCTTTATTGTTTCATTGATATCATAAACTTGAGATTCATTCAATCTTTTCGGTTTTCCAGAGGAAAACTCAATCGGGGGAGCCTTCAATATTTTGGTCACGTCATTGTCTCCAAAGCATTTCTGAGCGGCAGCTTTTAACTTTTGTGGTACACCAGACTTACCACTATAAAATTGACTTAAGACATAAAAGTGAACCTTTGCATGACCACCGTCTGAGTATGGTAATACACGCACACATTCCCTGTGCTTGGCTTCAAACTCGATAGTTTTTGTTACAACGTTCTTCAGTTTATGTTCAATAGCCAAAGGTGGCAGCTGGGTGCCAGCTGGAACTCTGGGGATGACCTCAGTAAAATCATCCTCTAAAGGGGCCACCCCTGTGCTCAACTCTGAAAAATATTAAAACAGGCAGAGACTACTTTTATCATTATAAATGAATCTCCGACAACAAAGGGCTACCAGAGCCAAATAAAACAACAATTCTATTCCCAATTTTTACCGTTAATAATATCGACAGAGGGTCAGCAGTGAGCTTAGCTCGAGATGGCGGCTTAAAAATAATGATCTCCGTCCCTCTTGATTTTCTTCAAGTTCTCTACTCTATTACCCAACCCCTGCTGTCAAGCCTGACTTAATGAGCTCGTTATGAGAAGAAAATCGGGGTCTAAACGCGCCATTTGTTTATCAGTTACACGAGAAACTCAAAACCTCCCGTCTAGTGCCAGAATGACTACTACTCTCTTCATCATCCCCATCACGGTTTCTAGCTTCGATTTAAGGGGTCTCCCTGGGTCCTTAAAGACATAAAAGATTCAAGATTAAGCCTACAGTTGAACAAATCTAAAAAAAAAAGCCAAGAAAATGGTCCGGCCCATAACACAGAGCAGGTGACGGTAGTGTTTACTGACCATAAATTACATACAGTGATAACACCCTATTTAAAACAACCTTCAAAAACAAAAAGTTATATAGCCTGAATTTCAGACGATTACTTCGAGTCGCATTAACGGCCAGTCGATTCAGACGTTACTGAGGGAGTAAAAACGACCCAAAGTAATCGTCTGAAATTCAGGCTAAAAGTATAACCCACTACGTCATAATCCATACTGTATGAAGTACTTATAACACCTTGACCCACTATTGCATAGTGGCGGCTTGCCCAATTATTGCATAATTTATGCAATAATTACATGTATGCACACTAGCCAGAAAAAGGAAACAAAACAAAACAAAAAGAACGCAGAAAAAGAGAAAGAGAGTCGCGGTCAATATGAACACGAACAAAAACTATGAGATTAAAAAAAATGTAATAAGGACCTCCAAAATTGAGTTCTTCTGTATGTAATGGAACAGACTACAGATAACTAAAGAAACAGAAGAACCAAACAATTGTAAGTCTTATCACGAGTTGTATTCTTTGGCATTAGTTATTTTTCGTTTTACTGATGTAATACAAAAGGAAACCTAATTTTCCTACAGTCATCTTTGGTCATCAACATCATCCAGTTACTGACATTACTCATATTAGCCCCTAACATTTCTATCTCCAGGGCCGGATTCCTTACGACCTTTTAGAATAGGACATATCCCCGAATATTTCCCTCAACGAGGGGGGCGTTGGGATTTTCGGTTTTCCGGTTTTGGCCTTTTTTTCGGTCGGTTTTTCGGTTTTGCTATCTGTTGCGGTTTACGGTTTTCCAATTTTTTGGCACTTGGTTTTCGGTTTTTAGCGGAAAACACAAGCGGTATTTCGGATTTGGTGTCAGATGTGGTTTTCGGTTTTCGTATTCATGCTATTCGGTTTCCGGTTTCTTCGTCTTTCCGTCTGCGTGCCATGACGTTATTGAGAGCGTGAGGGCGGTGAGTTTTCATAATCGTAAAACGTTAGTCACGTACTTTTATCGTACCACAGTAAAAGTCAAAGTGAGTTCCCGTTAACGACCAAAAAAAAAAAGTGACACTGAAACTGTGCCCCTTAAGCTGTACAGTCACATATTAGATTATTTCACAGTCAATCCAGGTCGTGCTAGGTCACGGTTGGCTGTTTTTTGCAAGTTTCAATCGAATGTGATTCACGTCTAAGTTCTCAAAACTTCAATAGGGAGTTCTGGATTTTCGATGTTGGTTTGCCTGGCTATAGGATAGCTTTTCTACCAAAGTTCTCTACTGCGATTTAATGAAGGACTCCTCCATCTTTGTGAATTTTCCTAAATTATGAGAAGAGACTAGACGATACGAACTTAAAATGTCACCAACGTATCAGATCTATTAACGACCAGTAGGGTTTTGGAAATTGGGGCGTGTAAATTTTTGGTTTTGCATTCGGTTTTCGGTTTCAATGGACATCTACAGCGTTTTTCCGTTTTAGGTGAATTTTTGGGCGGTTTTTCGGTTTCTTATAGTCCCCAGCGCCCCCCTCCTTAACAAACATAGATGCATCTTAATCTAGGATGAGTTTGTAAATCCCGTCCCAAGCAGATGATGGTCAATGTTACATACTTTGGTTGAAGAATCCTAAAAGAGTACATTTACACGATGAGTTATTTAGACTATAACTGATTAGCTACCAGAACGCTTTAAAATAAGGGACTTACGTTCTTCTGCACATTGGGTCTATTATTGCTTATATCTAAGATCAAACAATAAAAGCGGAATAAAGATGATTCTGACAACTGCAGTGAAAACAAATGTTGTCATTGATTGTGAAAATGGCCTATTCCTGACATCCACAATAATATTGCGGAATGCAGTTGGGTCAAAAGCTTAATACCCTGGGGATCACATAATCTACAACTAATCATATTTGCTTTACACAGTCTACCTACTTCCCCTCCCCATCTCCCCTATGGGATATTTTCATTATGAAGATCTTATCGTCACATTGAAGAATTTTTTTTACGATCATGCCATTTAAAAAAATCAACAACAAAGAACAACTAGGTACAACTAACAATGGCACGAGTACACTTCCACAAGTTTTTTCCTGTAAAATATATGCAGGAGAATGTCTAGGTCGAACTAAATATCTTAAAAATTGCTGGGTAGAATCTAAAAAAACCCTGATCCTGAATTTACGAACCTATCCTAAGCTAACTCAAGGTGTAACTGGAGTATTGCCCCACAACAATAGACTTTGATATAAATGTGATAGTGAACTTTCAGCCCAGCGTGTTTTTATGTCAGTGAACATGCAGGAGGCTGGGAAAAACAAAATCTGAGTTTTCCTGGCAGGAGTAGAACCTATGACCTTCTGGTTACTGGTCACAATAAATTCCAAGCTTAAGGTGCCTGTCTCACTGACTGAAAAATTTCAATGCATGTTTATATCACTGCGCGTATGCCACTTATTGCCATTCCATTGCCAATACATTAGCCCCATGTATCACTGACTAAAAAACATCCTTATCAACAACAAGACTGTTGTTGTTGTTGAAACAACACTTGCGCAGAAATCTTAGATAAGGACACCTTCGTAAATCTGGGCCCAGGGCCGGCTTGCATAAAAAAACTTTTAAAATTTGCACCGAAAAAAGATTAAGTGAGGATTTTATGCAACAATTCTCTTTCAACACAGAAGGATATCTTTTACACGATATCTCAGCACGAGAAATTCCCTAGAAATACTGGAAACAACTGCAGAAAATTTACACTTAATCTATGTTGGTTTATGCAACTGGTACCTTAGTCGGCATTTTTCAAGCATTTTTGTCCTTTTTACAACCCCTCCCTCTCTAGCTCTTTGCAAATAATGATGGCCACAGAGGGCAAATGAAGCAAAAACCTGCCCAAAAACTGAAGCATTATTTTTTTTGAAGGGATTTCGCCCAGAAGGCGAAATCCCGAGGAGGCACTCTAGTAACTCGGGCGCATATTAAGGAAAGTACTTACAGTTGAAATATACAGTCATACAGTCAATATAGAAAAAATCTTCATTTGCTTGAACAGGGGCCGCGAGGAATCGGTAGGTAATGATGACGTTTCTATTGTTTGCGCCCGCAAGTACGAAATGGTTAGGATGACGTAAAACACAAAAAATCCCAAAGGGACCGCTTACAACAGGTAGATTTTGTGACATTAATTGTGCAGTCATACTTCGATACTCTTTTGCGTTACGTGTGATCAGTGACATTCTGTGGAGCAGTTGTTAGGAAAGTTGTGGACCAAAAGACACTCGTCAAGCGCAGATGAAGTTATGAGGTGCGTATAACAGTGTATATTTTAACACTAAGTGAGTTTGCCAGACATGAGTTCACAAATCTTTGATTGGAAACCTTGACAGACACTCTTTCTCTTTCTTTGACCAGAATCAGACTCGGCCCCAAACAAGCAACAAGAGTGAATGATTCAACGGCTAGCTTATCAGTAGCAGAACGATGAACGATTACAGAAATTCGCCGACCATCAAATTCTGTGCTGACTTATTCCCTGCTCACAGATGTCCTTCCGCTATAAAGTTTAAAATATGGCTAGAATGCTTACTTTCCGGCAAATAAATTAAACTAAATGTAAAAAGTGAAATAGAAATAGCAAAAAATTAAACTTCTAATTAAATCTTTTCTTATGGTTTAGAATAAACTATTCTCGAAACTGAGAATGTTTTGATCAAAGCTGTGTAAATCGAGCCGAAACTGTGCATGGAACCTTGCGTTTCCTGTATTTATCTCACCTATTGTATGAAATATGTGTGAAAATCTTCATTATGAATCGGTATATTTCAAAGAGCTACACAACGAGCAACAATACTATTAACCGACAATATACAGAACGGGGGCAGCTGTAGTGTCAACTATTACTAGTAGTATTGCTTCATACTAGGGAGAGATACATGTACACCTTCTTAGATAACAAAATATATAATTGCATTTACTACTTAAGCATATTGCTTTTGCCCTAAAAATGGGGAGTCATTTGCGCACAAAGGTGCAAGACGTCAACGTCAAGACGTCATTATTTTGTGACTTCGTCACGCTCTGTGTTTCAAACCCCTTGATATGAACAAATTCGGGAGAACAGCAGGGAAAAAACAAGGCAAAGCCATTGATCCTTGGGTTAAATTTTACCATCCCTGCATAGAGATACATTAGCATAGTTACTCATTGAATGAGACAATGCAATTTAAGCCCATACTTTATATTGATCGATGATTGTTATCTAATCCAGTACGTGATGAAAATCATAATCACGTTTCACCCTGTTAAGGTTTTTAAACCTAGAGATCCCATTATATGATCAAGCTATTCAAAACACCGTAAAAAAAAAAAGATAAAAGAAATGTACCGAAGTGCCCGTGCTTCGTCACTAGCTTCGATCACTGGTGCACCATCGTAGAGAGAAGCTGCTTGTTGTATAATATCAACGTTAAAGCCTGGCTGGAGTTTTTTTTTTAGCATGTAATTGTCACAGGTAGTGGTACATGGAAGGCCAAAGACACTGAAAAAAGAAGAACAAAAAGAATAATATATGACTGTTTCATGCAAATTCTGCAAATTTGTACATCTTTTAAGACGAAACCCGTACCACTCCACGTGGAGTGTTCGTTTTGGTTCAGAAAACACGTTTGAGCTCTTCTCTTTAAAATTGTTAATTAATTCATTCACAATCAAATGTCAGGTAAAAGCTGGCATTAACGGTTCAGCGACGGGTATAGACGCAATGAAGTAGTGATAACTGAGACGGGTTTCCCTACCAAATAAATTTGTTTCGATTATATCCATCAGGGACTTAAATTAAGGATGTGCAACGTCAGCTTAATATGCGATTGGGTAAAATTCTGAACAGAACTAACATACTCACACTCATTAAATCGAAGTTTGTCTCTCCAAGTCTTGTTTTGTGCAATTTGGCAATCATCTTTATAAGTGGAACGTACTTGTGGTTGACATTTCCTTTTAATTTTCCAACAAGGTTGGTTATAACTGTGACTTGTATTGGTTTCTTTGTGTCTATGTCCTCTCCAAACAGTGCAAGAAGGTCGACAATTAACTTTTCTTGATAATCATGCTTACAGCTGTTATGTAGCATTTCCTCCCAGCTGAGCGCGTCTCGTTTTGGATTTATCTTTACGATCGTTTTCTCCAACTTTTTTTTCTGCGAGGTAAGAAGATTCAGTTTTTCCTTTACCGCTGTCTGCGTTGCGTAATCTAAGCGAAAACCTCTTTTTCCAACTCTTCCTTCTTCCTCCACTTTCAGTTCTGCTTGAGACCTCTTTTTTTGCAGATCGATCAGGTAATGCCTGAGTTTGTAGCAGTTATCACAAGTGAAAGGATGGTTGATATTTCCACTTGGTTTACCTAAACATAGAGGATCTAGGCTCTTGATTGCTGCATTGATGAAAATGCTTTTCCCATCCAGATAAACATTTTTGTTAAATGTTATATATGCTGCCCTACTTGATCTGCTGTTCCTCAACTGTTCCGCTTCCTCAGGATGCCTTTCTTTCCATTCCGCCCAGTTGACACACTTTTCATGTCCAGCTTGGGAAAAGCACTGGAATTTTCCCTCGCTTCTTTTTCGAATAAACAAGCTCTTGGCTGTCATACGTCTTATGCCTGCACTGTCTTTGAGGGATTCTACTATTTCTTGGTTTTCAAAGAAGCCAAGACAATTTGTAACCTTAGTATTGGGTTCATCCACTTTCAGGGCCTGGAAAATCGTTTTCTGGCGTGTTTCTTTGCCACTGAGGCTTGATTGTGCTGTTGTAACAGTTGCGGAAGAGCCACTGAAGTAAGCTAACGCTGATTGGTGCAGCTGGGATTTATGATGTACTATGGTCTGAGAGATTCCATCTAGATCTCCACTACACGATAATTTCGAAAACACGCCTTGTCTGGTACATTTATCTTGGTACGGAGGGCACACCACACACTGTATTGAGAATCGGTTTCTACTCCTCACAGAGTTGTGACATGTACTACTGAACTGTGGCAGGACATCACCAGAAAACGTTAAGCTATTAAAATCTTTCGCGGCAGCACAGCATACTGCGATTGGTGGGAAGGCCTTGATTAAAAATGCTCTCAGGCAGTTCGTTATTTGACTTATTGTAGGGGCTGAGGACTTGTATATCATCATTCGTTTTTCACTATTCACACGCGGCAGTGGTTTGGGAACGGAAAAAAACAAATACTGTTCAAAGTTCTGACACTGGAACTCCTGAGGTGATAGATCTCTGATATTTGCATTGTTCCATATTCTGCTAGTCGGCAGTGCCTTGTTGCAAAACATATCCCTAGAACTGGCAATAGTCTAGGGTTGTTTTAGGATGTTCTTGATATCTTCAGGGTCCCTGCTGTCATCACAGTAAATTTCAGTAGCATTCATGGTCCCATAGGTGTTTTCAACATCTGCACCATTTGATTCATACGTATCAACCCATTCTGTTTCATCTCTCAAGCTATAATCCCCCTCTTCACAGTTCCTTTCTGCCACATTTTGTTCCATTGAGTTTCCGCTCTTCTCTTCACTTTTCATTTCTGCTTCAGTTTGTTCCATTGAGTTTTCACAAATTTGTGCTTTCAGTTCTATTTCATCTTCCCTGCCACTACTCTTCTCTTCACGTTTCATTTCTGGTTCATTCTGTTCCATGGAGTTTTCACAAATTTGAGCTTTTAGTTCTATGTCATCTTCCCTGCCACTACTCTTTTCTACACTTTTCATTTCTACTTCAGTTTGTTCCATCGAGTTTTCACAAATTTGTGCTTTCAGTTCTATTTCATCTTCCCTGCCAGTACTCTTCTCTTCACTTTTCATTTCTGGTTCATTCTGTTTCATCGAGTTTTCACAAATTTGGCTTCTCAGTTCTATTTCATCTTCCCTGTCACCGCTCTTCTCTTCACTTTTCATTTCTGCTTCATTCTGTTCCACTGAGTTTTCACAAACTTGATCTTTTAGTTCTATGTCATCTTCCCTACCACCGCTCTTTTCTACACTTTTCATTTCTACTTCAGTTTGTTCCATCGAGTTTTCACAAATTTGTGCTTTCAGTTCTATTTCATCTTCCCTGCCACTACTCTTCTCTTCACCTTTCATTTTTGGTTCATTCTGTTCAATGGAGTTTTCACAAATTTGGCTTCTCAGTTCTATTTTGTCTTCCCTGTCACCGCTCTTCTCTTCACTTTTCATTTCTGCTTCATTCAATTCCATCGAGTTTTCACAAATTTGTGCTTTCAGTTCTATTTCATCTTCCCTGCCACTACTCTTCTCTTCACTTTTCATTTCTGCTTCATTCTGTTCCACTGAGTTTTCACAAACTTGATCTTTTAGTTCTATGTCATCTTCCCTACCACCGCTCTTTTCTACGCTTTTCACTTCTACTTCATTCTGTTCCATTGAGTTTTCACAAATTTGTGCTTTCAGTTCTATTTCATCTTCCCTGCCACTACTCTTCTCCTCACCTTTCATTTCTGGTTCATTCTGTTCCATGGAGTTTTCACAAATTTGGCTTCTAAGTTCTATTTTGTTTTGGAACACAGCAAAATCGAGGTGTTATGATAACACCAAAAAAGTGTAAATTTTTGCAGCTGTGTGAACACCAAATAGGTGTTCAGTTAACACTACTGTCGTGTATATTTACACCAAAATGGTGTAAATATGACCTACATACGATCCTGAATGCGTTTAAAAACACCTTTGCAGTGTTACAGCAACACTGACCTGGTGTATATTTTCTCTATATTGGTGTTTAGTAACACCAAAATTGGGTTAACGTAAACCAATTTTGGTGTTAAAATACACCAAAAATATGTCTCCTTTACACTGTTCTGGTGTTTTTCTTACACTAAAAAAGGGTAATGATGACACTGAATATGTGTAAAACCCATTGCAGGTGTGTGCACACCAAAGTGAGGTAAATTTACACTACTGGGAATTTTACACTGTATTAGTGTAGATCAACACTTCCAATCGTGTTATAACACACCGTTTGAGTGCTGAGCCAACACTATTTGTAACTCATGAAGAAGTCTTAAAAGTAGACAAAGTAACAGCTACGACAACAACCTGTAAATTTACTCCCATTTAATTGCTTTACCCTGATAGTAATAAAAACTTTGTTCTCTTCAGAATTCAGTAAAACAGCATGAATTAAGACAAGTGTTAAAAACTAAGAGGGCTGTACACCGTAGGTCTTTCTTTTCTAAGACTTTTTAGGGAGGTTAATACGACAATGGAGGCGACGAAAATGTTACGAAAAAAGCAATAGATTTATATTAGCAAAAAAACATCTTTGCACGTGCATCACACATTTTTGCTTATTTTCTTGCCGTTGTTGCACAACTACGACATTTAACTACCTAATTTCACCAGTTTTGCGGAGGATGAGAGCACACTGCATGAGAGAACGATTTTCTCATGCAGCCTTTTTTTAAAAATTCAAATATTAATATAGTCCTTTACAGAACTACAGAAGCCGGAGAGATGAAATTTGAAACAACGTGGATCTACTTTTTAAGAGACGTTTTTGCCACCGTCGTTGTCGTCGTTAGGCTTAGCTATTGATGTGAAAGGCAGATTACACAACAAGTCGTACATATTTAATTTTAGTTTGCTTTAATTACGAGCTTAGAACTGATTCAGTTCATTCATGAGCTGTAATACCTTAGTCGGTATAGTTTAACATTGTCCATTCAAAACTTCTCTCTTGGACAAATGAATATGAGTGTCTGCATTCTTCCGGATATTCTATATTACACACAACATATATTAGAGTGAGCAAGGCGCTGGTATGTCCTCCATTAACCTTTAGAGGGAGATTCCTTTCCCCACTCAGGTATGTATCATCTGGGGCTTGCAGTTGCCCCTCACAGATGATGAAGGGCGTCATTCCCTCCTTGCTGTTCTCGGCAACTTTGCATCAACACCATTCTATAAAGAGGAAAAAAGAGGCAAAAGAACACTTTCAATAAATGTGTTTTCTCAACTGCAGCATAATAAAAGTCAATAAATATTGAGATGGAAAGTTTTGTATGTTCATCCAATTCTTCAGATGGCCCGAACCTATTTATATGCACGTTGGGTATGTTTTGGAATCGCGTTTTTCATTTTTGGCATCCTTAATAAAGAATAGTGCAAATTTAAGAAAATGTTGTTTATTTTTGTGTAGGTTTAACACTGTTTGAGATATCAGCTTATGTTTAAAACCGAATTTTTACAAAAACTGTCAAAAACATCATAGAAATCGGTTGAATGATTCCTGCCGAAAAACGAATTAGGATTGTATTACAAGCATGAAAGGTTTAGCCTGATTAAATGAGGAAATAATGTTTGCCTCATGCTCAACTTCTGTTTGCGAGACTCCTTCACTGAATTGTTTCACTGCAACAGGCATTTCTCGATAAAAGGCAAGTCCAGTGTAACTTTTCCAAACTTTCCACCCCAAAGGGTTATTTAGTTTTTGGAATCACTGTCCATATTCACATGTACTCTCTGTTCCCGTGGAATCTCTAGGAATGAGTTTGTTACTGCCACAGCACTATCTGAAGAATTGATTGACTTTGTTTTATTTTTCATCTGCAAATGAAGCAATCTTTCTTTTTCACGTTCTGTCTGACGCCGCAGTTGGTGAAACTTCTCTTGATTTTTTTTTGACAGAAGACAGTTTTTCTTCGGTTGTCTGTCTTTTCTTTTTTTTGTTGAACTAACTCTTCATGAGCGTTTTTCTTTATTTGTTTTATTTCAAGCCTTCTTCGTTTATTTCGAGCTCGTCTCTGACGCCTTTTTGCCTCATCAGATCTTTTCCAACTAAAAAAAAAATGCCGCAAATAATAAAAATTTGTTCAAAGGGGGTGGAAGTATTACTATGAGTGTATTTCCTTTTTCTTAGTCTTTCTTCCGTCCTTTCTTTCTTTTTTGTTTTTCTATCCTTCTCAAGTTTTTCTGATAATTTTAGATAACTATAATTATTACCAGCTATCAATTCATCATGTTCCAAGTAATGAGCGGACTGGCCTCTCAACTTTGGAGCTAGTTAAAAGCGGAAAATCCAACTTTACATAGCTATGGAAACCCACAACATGATGAATTGA